TTACCCCGAGATTCCAACTATTAAGACGAGCTTCGAGGTCACTGTCATCCAAAGAAGTGTTTTTTTTATGATGATGTTCCTGGAATATAAAAAAACAAAAACATTAGAAGAGCTGACAGAAACACAGTGTAAAAGAGTTTTTCTGTAGAATCAGTTCCTACCTACACTGCACTTCCTAGTAGTGTCATGATAGCCGAGCTGTCTTTAATTTAGATAACTCTGTTACCAGCAGGATCTAGTGCCACCAAGGAGTTCATAGGAGGATAAAATTACTTCACTGTCTCACTTCATTTTTCTTTATTTATCACTTTCAAGGCAATTGCCTCCTTTACAAAGGGCAAGTTCACCGAATAAGCTCAAAATACTCCATTCTTCAGAGAAGGTACTTATTCCAGAAGGGAGCAATGCCAAGCCATCCCCCACAGTATATCTTGTGGGGGAATAATCCAGGATTATCAGCAGGTCAGCCTCAAAATAGGAGAGGAAGAGAGAAACAAAACTGCAGCATGGCAGAGAGTTACAGTGCAGAGCTTCAGACAGTTCTCTGCAAAGATCTCCAACATTCAATAAGGACTAGTGGATAATGTTGTGCAGGGTTGTGCCTTTCATAAAATAAATAAATAAAAATCACTGTAATATAATATTAACTATTGATTGTACTTAATATATCAATCACAGAAACTGGCCCAGAAAACTTTAACTGTTCATTTAACTGAAATATTACATTAGTCAGAAAAACAGCAAATAGAAGCATGAATTTCTTTCTCTGATTAAGTTTTGTTAGCAAGTAGTTTGTGTGTCAGCATGCAGGCACCTTTTTTTTTTTTTTTTTTTTTTTTTTTTTTTTTAATATGATCATTCGTTACAAATATACAGTGAACAGAGCTTTGACCTCAGTTAATCAACACTTGGTTGAGGCACTTCTTAATGTGGCTAAAAATACTCCCTGTTCCTCTACCTGGGCCTCAATTATAATCAGAACATCTGTGTGTCACTGACAACAGAACAAGATACTATTTGTTTCAGCCAGCCAAGTGTTCAACAAACTGTTTGGCAAAGCAGAATATTATTTCCCTTTTAAAGCTGTAATCACAGTAAAATGCCGTACATGGAACCAAAGGAGTGCAGTAACTGTCCAACATTGCCTGGGAACCCTGTGGCAGAGCCAGAAATAAATAAAATAGCAAGGAAAGAGAAAATTTATAAAGATCCAAATTCGGATTTCAACTCACAGCCACGCTTTTCTTCACAGCAACTGTTCAGTATGAAATATTTCTTTATATTAGGAAAAACATAAAGAAAGACCTTATTGTCTTTCTGTAACAAAAGTTCAGTAAATACGGTTGGCCTGTCTCTCTCTCTCTCTAATTATAATCATGTATGACTGTACTTTAAACAAATATCATAACAACCTGACCCTTGAGCAGAGACATGGAACTTTTGCCCACAGGCCCTTTAAAGCCTGCCATGATGTACCCCAATGCATGGCAGGACACAAGTTTCCCCGGAAAGCTGGAGGCCAGGAACAAGCTTCCAAGCACCAGCATCTGCACTTCATTTCCTGGCAAGTTCTCAGTTGTGCCCAGCACAGAGCAGAACAGGCTGTATGAATTGCTGTGGTGTCAACAGCCTGCTCCCAGCTGGGACCCTTCTGAGCTGCTCCTCCAGCGCAAGCGAGACGCACGTTGCAGCTCTGCCCGCCCTGTGCGCCATGAAACTTCATGGAAGAGGGAAGAGCTGTTACAGATGCATGAACTACAGTGAGGGGAGTACAAGAGACAGGACTTTCCAAGTGCTGAAGACTGTGCTCTGCAAGGCTAGAACACATTCACAAAGGAAAACAGCATCCTTGATGCTAACACCTATTTCAGTAATCATTTTTAGTTTTAAAGGCTCGTAGCTATACATACGATAACATTAAATATGTTGGACTAGAGGGGCCTAAATAAAGCCTATTTAGTCTCCTTCAATCAGCCATAAACCTAATTGTGCACAGTTTGATGGAGGATAAAATAAACTGTCCGAAATTCATTCTTTCAGAGGTCAAATACAATTAAACAGAGCCAAAAACAGCTATGCAGCTTTCTTTAATCTACTGTTACAAAATACAAGACGATGTCGACAGAGTCAGTTTGCCAACTCAGAGCAAAACAAAGCATCAGACTAACTTTGCTGTGTGCTAAACAGAGGACAAACAACCGTTAGGATAACGGAGAGTATCCTACGTGAAATTCTTTTCCCTTGTACCTGCAGAGGGCAATTTCCATGAGCTTCAGTCATTGCTGCTACTTTTTCCCTGAATATCTACATTCATACACACGGATCATGACTCATATAGCTAGAAAGAAGAGTTTCATGGGAATATATCAAAACAGTTCATTGAAACTAGAAAAAGTTTTATTACAAGAAGGAGAAGCATCTTACAGAGCGTGCCGTGGATATGTTAACTTCATCTTTCTGGTGAGGAG